TTTTTCTTTTTTTTTTTTTGAGATGGAGTCTCGCTCTGTCACCCAGGCTGGAGTGCAGTGGCGCGATCTCACTGCAAGCTCCGCCTCCTGGGTTCAAGCGATTCTCCCGCCTCAGCCTCCTGAGTAGCTGGGACTACAGGCATGTGCCACCACGCTCGGTTAATTTTTGTATTTTAGTAAACACTGGGTTTCACCATGTTGGCCAGGGCGGTCTCGAACTCCTGATCTCAAGTGATCTGCCTGCCTCAGCCTCCCTAAGTGCTGGGATTATAGGCGTGAGCCACCGCACCCAGCCTGGTTTTCTGAGTGTCAGAGAAGCCTCACTCACTGGCTGGGCGTGCACAGGTGTCCACTCCTGGGGTCCCTTGTGCTGGGATGATTGGAGATGATTCCCCAGAGGAAAATACGGTGCTGGGAGCAGAAGGGGGGAACCAGCCCTGGGCCGGCCCTCGTCGTGCATGGGAGGTACACGGGTCCTGGAAGCTTGTGAACTCGGTGCTGACCCTAGTCCTGACTCTACAGGGCTGTGTGACTCCAAGAAAGTCACTTCCCACCCTCCAACCTCATTTGCCGCCTATAAATGGGGTGCCTGCCTCACAGCCTCCCGGCAAGCAGCAAAGGGGACTCACCATGCTCCCGTCCTGGGCGAGCATCTATTAACTAGGTGATTAACAGGAATCCACGCCTGCGTGCTGTGGCCCTACTGTGCGCCCGGTACTGTCCACATCCCACCTGGAACCTGTAGCACTGGGGTCTGTGCCCATTTTACAGATAAGAAAACAGGCATAGGCCGGGTGCGGTGACTCACGCCTGTAATCCCAGCAATTTGGGAGGCCAAGGCGGCTGGATCACCTGAGGTCAGGAGTTCGAGACCAGCCTGGCCAACATGGTGAAACTCCGTCTCTACTAAAAATACAAAAAATTAGCTGGGTCCGGTGGTGCATGCCTGTAATCCCAGCTACTCGGGAGGCTGAGGCACGAGAATTGTTTGAACCCAGGAGGCAGATGTTGCAGTGAGCCGAGGTCGCACCACTGCACTCCAGCCTTGGCAACAAGAGCAAAACTCTGTCTCAAAAAAAAAAAAAGAAAAGAAAAAGAAAAGAAAACAAGCATAGAAGGGTCTCCGGGCCTGGCACACAGTGGGCACCCATAGTTGCTATAACAAATCTGTACGAACTTCCTGGTTTAAAGCAACACACGGGCGGGGTGTGGTGTCTCACACCTGTAATCCCAGCACTTTGTGAGGCCAAGGTGGGCAGATCACCTGAGGTCAGGAGTTTGAGACCAGCCTGGCCAACATGGCAAAATCCCATCTCTACTAAAAAAAAAAAAAAAAAAATTAGCCGGGTGCAGTGGGAGGCGCCTGTAATCCCAGTTAATCGGGAGGCTGAGATTGCAGTGAGCCGAGATCGCACCTCTGCACTCCAGCCTGGACGACAGAGTGAGGCCCTGTCTCAAAAAGATAAAAATGGCCGGGTGTTGTACTAAAAATACAAAAATTAGCCAGGCGTGGTGGTGTGCACCTGTAATCTGAGCTACTTGGGAGGCTGAGGCAGGAGAATCGCTTGAATCTGGGAGGTGGAGGTTGCAGTGAGCCGAGATCGTGCTACTGCATTCCAGCCTGGGAGACAGAGTAAAGACTCTGTCTCAAATAAATAATAAATAAAATAAAAATAATAAATAGCCGGGCATGGTGGCTCACGCCTGTAATCCCAGCACTTTGGGAGGCTGAGGCAGGCGGATCACGAGGTCAGGAGATTGAGACCACCCCGGCCAACACGATGAAACCCTGTCTCTACTAAAAACACAAAAAATTAGCCGGGCGTAGTGGCGGCGCCTGTAGTCCCAGCTACTCAGGAGGCTGAGGCAGGAGAATGGTGTGAACCCGGGAGGCGGAGCTTGCAGTGAGCCGAGATCGCGCCACTGCACTCCAGCCTGGGCAACAGAGCCAGACCCCGTCTCAAAAATAATAATAATAATAATAATAATAATAATAATAATAGGCCGGGCACAGTGGCTCACGCCTGTAATCCCAGCACTTTGGGAGGCCGAGGTGGGCGGATCACAAGGTCAGGAGATCGAGACCCTGGTGAAACCCCGTCTCTACTAAAAAAAAAATACAAAAAAAAATTAGCCGGGCGCGGTGGTGGGCGCCTGTAGTCCCAGCTACTCAGGAGGCTGAGGCAGGAGAATGATGTGAACCCGGGAGGCGGAGCTTGTAGTGAGCCGAGATTGCGCCACTGCACTCTAGCCTGGGCAACAGAGCCAGACTCTGTCTCAAAAAAAAAAAAAAAATAATAATAATAAATAAGTAAAACACACAATTTTTTCTCTTGCACAAGTTCTGAAGGTCAGTAGTCCCACATGGGGGCCGGGCGCGGTGGCTCACGCCTGTAGTCCCAGCACTTTGGGAGGCCGAGGCGGGTGGATCACCTGAGGTCAGGAGTTCAAGACCAGCCTGGCCAACACAGTGAAACCCCGTCTCTACTAAGAATACAAAAATTAGCTAATATGGTGACGGGCGCCTGTAATTCCAGCTACTCGGGAAACTGAGGCAGAAGGATCGCTTGAACCCGGCGGGGCGGAGGTTGCAGTGAGCCGAGATCGCGCCATTGCACTCCAGCCTGGGCGACAGAACGAGACGACGTCTCAAAAAAAAATAAAAAAGAAGTTCCACACGGGTCTTGCTGGGGGAAGATCGAGGTGCTGGCAGACCCGCGTTCCTTCTGGCAGCTCCAAGGAGAATCTGCGCCTTTCCAGGCTCCTAGAGGCCGCCCACATTCCCTGGCTCGAGCCCCCTTCCTCCATCTCCGAATCCCGCAATGGCAGCCAAGTCCTTCTCTTATCCCATCTCTAACCATAGAGGGCAGGCGTCTCCTTTTCTTTCTTTTTATTTTTATTTTTATTTATTTATTTATTTATTTATTTTTTTTTTTTGAGACGGAGTCTCGCTCTGTTGCCCAGGCTGGAGTGCAGTGGCGCGATCTCGGCTCACTGCAAGCTCCACCTCCCGGGTTCACGCCATTCTCCTGCCTCAGCCTCCCGAGTAGCTGGGACTACAGGCGCCCACAACCGCGCCCGGCTAATTTTTTGTAATTTTTTAGTAGAGACGGGGTTTCACTGTGGTCTCGATCTCCTGACCTTGTGATCCGCCCGCCTCGGCCTCCCAAAGTGCTGGGATTACAGGCGTGAGCCACCGCGCCCGGCTATTTTTATTTTTGAGATGGAGTCTCGCTGTGTTGCCCAGGCTGGAGCACGATCTCAGCTCACTGCAACCTCCGCCTCCCGGGTTCAAGCGATTCTCCTGCTTCAGCCTCCCAAGTAGCTGGGATTACAGGCACACGCCGCCATGCCCACCTTTTTCTTTTTTGTATGTTTAGTAGAGACAGGGTTTTACCATGTTGGCTAGTCTAGTCTCGAACTCCTGACCTCAAGTGATCTGCCCATCTCAGCCTCCTAATGTGCTGGGATTCCACCGCGCCCGGCCAGGCATCTCCTCTTCTACGGACGCTTCAAGGACAGTGGGCCATCTGTATAACCCAGGATGAGCCCCTGTGTGAAAGTCCTCAACTCAGTCCCCCCTGCAGAGCCCCTTTGGCCGGGAAGGGTGGGACACCCACAGGTTCCAGGGATGAGGGCCCCGTGATCTCTGGGGCCGCCGTTCTGCTGACCACCCCCAATTGCACTTCCACTCACTCACAGCACAAACGTCTGTTTCCAGCGCCCACCCCTGCCGTTCCAACCAACGTTCGTCTCAACCTGAACACCCCTTTCCTCTGGGAAGCCCTCCTCAGTCTCCCCCAGGCCTGGGTGTGGCCTGGGGCACCTCTGCTATCTGGGCATCCTCTACCACAGAACAACACTGGATTGTTACTGTTTTTTTTTTTTTTTGAGACGGAGTCTGGCTCTGTCGCCCGGGCTGGAGTGCAGTGGCTGGATCTCAGCTCACTGCAAGCTCCGCCCCCCGGGTTCACGCCATTCTCCTGCCTCAGCCTCCCGAGTAGCTGGGACCACAGGCGCCCGCCACCTCGCCCGGCTAGTTTTTTGTATTTTTAAAGTAGAGACGGGGTTTCACCGTGTCAGCCAGGATGGTCTCGATCTCCTGACCTCGTGATCCGCCCGTCTCGGCCTCCCAAAGTGCTGGGATTACAGGCTTGAGCCACCGCGCCCGGCCGATTGTTACTGTTTACCTGTCAGGATTTACCTCGAGGGAGACAGAAGCCTGGGGGGGTGAGCAGAGGCCACGGCACCCACGGTGGGTGTCTGAGCCAGGGAGAAGTATAATGGCAGCTGGGGTACGAAGTGGCCACGGGGGCCAGGCTGCGGGTGGAGGTCCTAGGATGGGCCTTGGGGCTGGATAGGGTAGGGAGAGGGGCAGAGCTGGGAGGTCGTCACTGGGGTCTCAGGAGGAGGCAGTGCCCCAGAAAAGGCCAGTGACCTGTTTGAGGTCACCCCACAGAGCCTCTGGGTTAGGGAGGAAGACAGAGCCGGGAGCAGGAGGCCACTGGCAGCTGGCCTCGGTTTCCCCGGAGAGGGCCGGAACCCACGCCAGCCAGACAATGACCCTTTGATTCGCACAGCCCAGGCCGGAGTGGCTGAGCCACAGCGGGGTCAGGTCTTGGCCAAGGTCACACTGTCCAGCCCCCGCACACCCTCAGTGAGAACACAGGGTCCTGTCCCTGCCCCGCTCCCCGACCCGGGGAGATTCCCAGGGGAATGCCAGAGGCCAAGGCCAGGTCAAGACGGCGGGGTGTCCCCCCTCACGGCCACTAGGGCAGGAACTTGGCCCCTGGCCACTGGCTGCGAGGGGACACAGTCAGGCTGGGCAGCTGAGGTGGAGGAAAAGGTACAGGTGCGCCGTTCGTGGGCGCAGGTCTCACTTATGCCAGAGAAGGGGCTGTGCCGTGGGGCTGCTGGACGCCTCCGTTTCCACACCTGGGGGGTGGGCAACGCCGGAACAGCCAGCGGCCAGACACAGGCATCCCCAGGAGACACCCAACTGCTCTCCATCTCCTCAACCTTCTTTATTTTCCTGAAAGCATTTACCAGTCTTTGAAGTTACAGATTAATTTGTCTCTGCATTTTGCTGTCTATGGCCCCTCCAAACCAGGAGCTCGGTGAGCGTGTGATGGGGTCTGCCTTGGTCACCACGGCACCCCAGCACCCTGCAGGGCCCCTCTGGCCAACAAGAGATGTTCACTGATGGTTCCTTAGAAGCGGGAACAGAGGAGCTCCGCAGAACCCTTGAGCTCGCCACGGGCGCCCTGACAGATCCGGAGGCCTCCACCGCAGCATCAGTCCCAAGTAGGAAATGTGTCTGGCTGCAGCAAAGCCCCCCGGACACAGCGCCTCCGGGCCCATGCAGATGTCGCTGTCATAAATTGTGGGAAACGCCTCTGCTGGAAACAGTGTTTGAAACAGTGTTTGCTGAATCTCGGAGGGAGAGGAAAAAACCTAGTAAACATTCTTGTTGATATGACCTGGGGGAACCTTCCCAAAGGCTTGGAAGGCTGTTGGGGGCAGAGTTGCCCAGGGGCCCAGGACAAAGGCCTGGCGTGCACGCACACACGCACACACACAGACAGTGGCCTCCCTGGGGGCCTTGGCTGGGCGAGGCCTGCTGTTGTCCACGATGCTGGAAGGAGCTGTGTCTCTGGGTCTGTCCCGGCCGCACCCCGTTCTGTCCCACACCCAACCTCTCCCCACCCACAGGCCGGCTCCAGCGGCCAGGTGGACGGGTGGGCGGCCTGCGCCATGAGCAGGGAACCATATCCAGCTGAGGTTTTGGGTGTGTGGGGCAGGTCGGGACCAAGGAGGCCGGGTTGGGGGGCTCAGACTATGAAAGTGACCACATGCAAATCACAGAAACGGGGTGCAGGGATCCACAGACGTGCTCCTCGTGGGTCCCCGCTAGCTCACCACCACCCCTGCAACTGAAGATCCCCACACCCACTTTGACTCCTGGAGACCGCCCCTCCATCCACCCAAAAGGCTGCCACCACCTCGAACCCACACCCCGGTCCCAGTTCCGCCCTGGGTCCAGCCACATCTCCCCAGATGCATTCTCTGGCTCCGGGAGGGGACCCGGGAGCGCGCCCCCAGCTGCCCCCCGCAGCGGCCGGGCCCGGCGCCTGCCCACCCCGCGCGGGACACGGCCTCGCCCCCGCCACTCCCGCGCCGCGCCCCGCCCCGTGCCCCGCCCCGCCCGCGGCCCGCGGGACCTTTATAGGGAGCGCCGGCCGCGCGCTAGGAAGTCGGTGCCGCTGCCGTCTCTGCGTTCGCCATGCGTCCCGGGGCGCCAGGGCCACTCTGGCCTCTGCCCTGGGGGGCCCTGGCTTGGGCCGTGGGCTTCGTGGGCTCCATGGGCTCGGGGGATCCCGCGCCCGGTGAGTGGGGCGGCCAGAGGGGCGGGCGGGGCGGGCCACCCACGTGGGGCCGCTCGGAATGCGGCCGGGGGGACGTCGGGGGGCGCGGCGGCGGTGGGGGCGAGGGCGGTGTCCGGCGCAAGCTGGAGCCGGGAGGGTCTGAAGGGGGGTCACCAGGAGGTCAGCAGAGCAGAGGTTCCTAATCACAATGACCGCTGACATTTATTGAGCGCTTAGTGTCTACCTCTCCCCTCCCTGAACCCGTGCCATCCCAGTAGTGCCGGAGCTCTCTTCATCTCTGTCTTCCAGATGGGGAAACTGAGGCTCAGGGTCACACAGACTGTAGGCGGCAAAGCCAGGGTTCTAGCCGCGACCGTCTGGGTCGGTCCTGGTGCCCTGAGAGGCAGCGCTGGGTGTCTGGAGCCAGGCCCTCCAGCTGGGGCTGAGAGCTTCCCCGGGTCCTGGGTAGACCAGGCATGGAGACTCACACCTGGGACTTGCCGGGAGGCGCCAGGCAGGAGACGGCCCCACTCCTGGCCTCAGTTTCCCCTATGATGGGTGCCAAGGTGCTGCATTCCCCAAACTGGTCCCTGGCAGTGTCTGTGAACCACCGAGCACTCTGGGAAGGGGGCTGTGGCCGTTCCTGCCCCCAGGGACAGGGGAAGAAACTGGGGGCTCTCTGGCTCCCCACCCCCCATCCCTGCAGCCCCACCCCACCCCAGCCCCGCGCCAAAGGGAGAGCAGAGCCCCCTCCCCGAAGGCCACGTCCCTGGGGAGACAGTGAGCTCATGCAAGGGGAATGTTCCCAAGTTGGAGTGAGTAAGAGGCGGGCCAGGCGGTGGGGGGGCTGCCAGGCGCGGGGCTCCACGTGCCCTCGCCCTCGGGTGCTGTCTAGACAGAGGGCAGAGGCGGGAGAAGCGGTTCCAGGGCCCGCTGACCCTGACATGCCCAGTGCCTAGCGTTGGGTGGTGTTTGACGGGTTGGGCAGGGTGCCAGCCCCCGGCCTGGGGGCTCGGAGGGAACGAGGGGGGACCTCCTGGGATGGGTGAGGGTTGGTGGTGAGGGTGTTGGGGGGGGCATAGAGCTAGAGGGGAGGAGGTATCTCCAGGGACCCGGAGCCAGGGTGGGGACCCCCATGTGGTTTTCTGCCCCTCTTCCTGGGTTGGGGTAGATCATCCCGTGCGTAACTACTGAGCACCACCTGCATGCATCTGTGGGCGGGCCAGAAGCTGGGTGTCAGGAGTGGCCCAGGAGAGCACCCCGTCCCCTGGCCCGCAGGTGGTGTTTGTTGGCTCCAGCAGGGCCAGGAGGCCACCTGCAGCCTGGTGCTCCGGACTGACGTCACCCGGGCCGAGTGCTGTGCCTCCGGCAACATTGACACCGCCTGGTCCAACCTCACTCACCCGGGGAACAAGATCAACCTCCTTGGCTTCTTGGGCCTTGTCCACTGCCTTCCCTGCAAAGGTGAGACCCCAGGCCAGAAGCAGGGTAGGCATCTCAGCTCAGGACCAGCCAAAAACAGTCACGGTGGTCGAGGGCAAAACATGCGGGGCTGAGCCTGTCACAGGGGTTGCAGGGGGGATCCTGGTCTCAGAGAGGGACTGGGGGCACCTCCCAGTTCCCAGGCTTCAGTCTCTTGCAGTTTAGGACTCAGGAAGAGGCCCTGAGGACTCCCCACGTGGCTGAGCCTTTGCTGGGGCTGAGCTCTCTGCCTGGGTGGCTCTTCGATAAATGTCTGGCTTACACCTAGCTCCTGGGAAGGTGGGTTTGCCATTCTGGCCTGTGACCCAAATGTCCACACCAGGGACCTTCACTGCAGACTCCAGGGTCTGTGGTGGGGTTACAGCTGCATGATTAACAAGCATTTGCCTCGGGACCCAGTTTTTTTTTTTTTTTTTTTTTGAGATGGAGTTTCATTCTTGTTGCCTAGGCGGGAGTGAAATGGCACGATCTCGGCTCACCGCAACCTCCACCCCCCAGGTTCAAGCGATTCTCCTGCCTCAGCCTCCCTAGTAGCTGGGATTATAGGCGTGCGCCACCACACCCGGCTAATTTTTTATATTTTTAGTAGAGACGGGGTTTCTCCATGTTGGTCAGGCTGGTCTCAAACGCCCGACCTCAGGTGATCTGCCTGCCTTGGCCTCCCAAAGTGCTGGATTACAGGCGTGAGCCACCGCGCCCAGCCACTCGGGACCCTCTTCTGAGACAATGCCTTCCCCATCAAACTAGGGGCTCTTGGGTGGCAGAGAACGAATGAATGAGTTAAGATATACTCTCTGCACTGGAGGATGAATTTTTTTTTTTTTTTTTTTTTTTTTTTTTTAAGACAGAGCCTTGCTCTGTCACCCAGGCTGGAGTGCAGTGGTGCGATCTCGGCTCACTGCAACCTCGGCCTCCTGGGTTCAAGCGATTCTCTTTCCGCAGCCTCCTCAGTGGCTGGGACTACAGGTGTGCGCTGCCACGCCTGGCTAAGTTTTATATTTTTGGTAGAGACGGGGTTTCATCACATTGGCCAGGCTGGTCTCAAACTCCTGACCTCAAGTGATCTGCCAGCCTTGGCCTCCCAAAGTGCTGGGATTACAGGCATGAGCCACCATGCCTTTGTTGGGGCACAACTTGAAGGAGGTGGGCATTAGAGCTGGGGTGTTGGGGGATGTCTAGGAGTTTGCCAGATGGAGTCAGTATGGGAGTGGGGATCAGGAGAGAACATGGCTTGAGGTTAGGTCCTGGTGGGTGGGGTGAGTCAGAGGAGCCAGGGGGAGGCTGGAGCTGAGGGGTGCAGACCCGAAGGCCAGGCTGAGGAACTCTGTTGGCCTCTGAGATGTGATTAATCCCAGATCAGCCTGGCTGGGTGGTCCTGAACTCATTGCCACATACCCCTGGCTCCCTCCAGACCCCCCTCTGGCTTCTGGGAGAAGGACAGACTTCAAAAAGTGCCTGGCCTGGGCATGAGACGGCCCAGGACCCCCCACCCCCAACCTCATCTGGCCGCCCTGGGGACGGGAACTCAGGCCCCCTTCCGTTCTCGCTTGTATGAAAGCCATCCTGGCCAAGCATTTCCAGATGTGCCTGTGAGCCGCTGTGCGGGGGCCGCCCAGGTGCGGCCCACATGCCCTGCAGGGCTGCGTGGGGGGCGCTGGCCATCCTCTAAGGAGTGCCTGACTGCCTTGTAAGTGGGGCTCCCCCGTCAGCCCCGCTTTACGCACAGAGAAACTGAGGCTGACACATAAACAACAGCTGTGTTCAGAGGCCCCACCAGACCCACAGACAACAGAAAGGGGATCGGTCATCTGGGTCCTGCTGCAGCTTTCAAGCTGAGGTGCTTGGGTCCCCTGCACTCATAGCTGCGACCCGGCCTCAGTTTCCCCATCTGTAAAATGATGACTTGGGAGGATGCAATGAGCCTAGGTGGCGATGAACATCACATGAAAAGCAGGGGCGGGGACCCCAGAGACAGTTTCCCTAGCAGGACCTCAGTATCCCTGCCTGAGCAGTGGGGCTGCGGGGCAACTCCTGGTTCAGAGGCCTAGGGCTGTGGGCGGCCCCCTCCCCTGGAATCGCTCCCCAGGCCAGGAGGGGTGTCCAGAGCCCCGCCCTCCCCGACGCCTCCTGGGGGAAGATTCCGGCAGCCCCAGACTCGCAGCCCCAGACTCGCGCCTGGCAAGGGCGGAACACCCCAGGCTGACGCAGCTGGGGCCCCTCCGGCCTTCCCAGAAAAGCGCGTGCATCGGGGGCAGACGTCAGCCAGCTACAAGGAGGAGCGGCCCGAGGCTGCGTAGCTCCGCCGGACCCCGATTCCGGGCAGAGACCCCGCGGCCTGCGCGCACCGAGCCCAGCCCCCGCCCCCAGCCCCACCGGTCCCGCGCCCCGACCCGTAGCCCTGCCCCTGGGAACCCGAACGCCCCGACTCCGACTGACCCTGACCTGGGACGGCGCCCCCGCCTCCGCCCTGCAGAGGGGGCGCAGGGAGGGGCCCCGAGGCCTTCGCGCGGCCCCACGCCCGGGAACCTCCCATGCCCGGCCCCACGCGCGTGTCCTGTGTCCGCAGATTCGTGCGACGGCGTGGAGTGCGGCCCGGGCAAGGCGTGCCGCATGCTGGGGGGCCGCCCGCGCTGCGAGTGCGCGCCCGACTGCTCTGGGCTCCCGGCGCGGCTGCAGGTCTGCGGCTCAGACGGCGCCACCTACCGCGACGAGTGCGAGCTGCGAGCCGCGCGCTGCCGCGGCCACCCGGACCTGCGCGTCATGTACCGGGGCCGCTGCCGCAGTACGTGGGGGCGGGGTCTGTGGAGGGGCGGGCCTGGGGCGGGGCGGGACCTACCAGACCTGCGCGTCACGTATCGAGGCTGCTGGCGCAGTACGTGGGGGCGGGGCCTGGGGCGGGGCCACCCGGACCTGAGCGTCACGTTACGGAGCTGCTGCTGCAATGCGTAAGGGCGAGGCCTACGTGACGGCCCGGCCTCTGGGGGCGGGGCCTGCTGGAGGGGCGGGGCCGCTGCCGCAGTACGTGGGGGCGGGGCCTCCAGCCCACTATATGTCACGTGGGTCGCGGTGGGGCCTAATTAAGGGCGCGTTTACACTTCCGAGGGAGTATTACGGGGTGGGGTCTTTTGTAGGGTTGGGATTTGGAAAGTAGTGGGCCTCCGGGGCTCACATTGGGCGAGAGTTATGTGGCATGGTCAGAGCGGGAGTGTGACGCAGCGAGGGGCTTGTGGGTGTAACCAGAAGGGCATGATGGAACCAGGGGGTGAGACTTTGGGTCATGGAAGGGGCGGGGCTCTTGACTGCGGCGTGGTTCCTGGGTGGAGATGGGCGGGGATTTGTCGGTGGAGCTTGGGTGGGCGGCCCCGCAGTCGCGGAGGGGCGGGGCTTTGGGTAACAAGGGTGAGGGCTTACGAGGAGGTGTGGCTCCTGGGTACAATGGGAGGGGCAAGGCTTGTGGGTGGAGCCTGAGGGGGTTGGTTGGGCTCATGGAGGGGCGGGGCTTTGTGGGTGGTAAGAGGGTGGGGCTTATGGCTAAAGCAAGAGGTGGGGCTTCTGGAAGGGGAGAGACTCCTGGGTAGAATCGGAGGGGCAGGGCTTGTGAGTTCTATGGGGGGTTGGACTTCTGGGTAACAAGGCGCGAGGCTCGTGGGAGGAGCAGGGTTTCTGGGTGGAGCCTGATTGTGGGCGGGGCTTTGTGGTGGTAAGGGGGTGGGGCTTATGGCTAATGTAAGGGGTGGGGCTTCTGGAAGGGGAGTGACTTCTGGGTACAATCGGGGGGTGGGGCTTGTGGGAGCTTTAGGGGGTGGGACTTTTGGGTAACGTAAGGGGCGGGGTTCCTGGAAGGGGTGTGGCTCCTGGGTACAATTGGAGGGGCAGGGCTTGTGGGTGGAGCTCAAGGGGTGGGATGGAGAGGGGGGCTCATGGGGAGGTGCGGGGGGCTTGTGTCCTACCAGAGGGTTTTCTCAACTTGGGGGTTAAGGGCAGGTCTTGGGGCCAAGAGCCCTGCGGGGTTCTCAGCGAGATGTCTCCTGAACTGTCCCTGGCACCCGGCCTGCAGAGTCCTGTGAGCGCGTGGTGTGCCCGCGGCCACAGTCGTGCGTCGTGGACCAGACGGGCAGCGCCCACTGCGTGGTGTGTCGGGCGGCGCCCTGCCCTGTGCCCTCCAGCCCCGGCCAGGAGCTTTGCGGCAACAACAACGTCACCTACATCTCCTCGTGCCACCTGCGCCAGGCCACCTGCTTCCTGGGCCGCTCCATCGGTGTGCGCCACGCGGGCAGCTGCGCAGGTGCAAACGCAGGGCGAGGGCACAGACCTGTCCTGGGGGCCGGAGAACCCCCTGCCCTGCGCCCTCAATGCTCTTATCCACCCTTGCAGGCACCCCTGAGGAGCCGCCAGATGGTGAGTCGGAGGAAGAGGAAGAGAACTTCGTGTGAGCCTGCAGGACAGGCCTGGGCCTGGTGCCTGAGGCCGCCCCCCACCCCGTTATTTATTGCCACAGCAGAGTCTAATTTATATCCCACGGACACTCCCTAGGGCCTGGATTCGGACCACTTGGGGATCCCAGAACCCCCCTGGAAGGACTGAGGAAAGGAGGCCTGGGGGCCGGCTGGTGGGTGGGGTAGACCTGCATTCCGGACACCGAGCGCCTGATTTAGGGCCTTTCTCTAAGAAGCTCCAGCCCCTACCCTAAGACCTATTGCCGGGGAGGACTCCACACTTCTGCTCTGCTCCTTTGGGGATAAACCTGTTAATTATTGCTACCATTAAGAGGGCTGGGCATTCCCTGCTGGTAATTCCTGAAGAGGCATGACTGCTTTTCTCAGCCCCAACCATCCTAGAACAGGGGCCTTGGGCTTAGGCCAGGAGGAGCAGAGGAGGTCTAGCCTGGGTGAGTACGGAGGGTCTAGCCTGGGTGAGTACGGAGGGTCTAGCCTGGGTGAGTACGGAGGGTCTAGCCTGGGTGTGTAAGAAAGGTCTAGCCTGGGTGAGTACGGAGGGTCTAGCCTGGGTGAGTACGGAGGGTCTAGCCTGGGTGAGTACGGAGGGTCTAGCCTGGGTGTGTAAGGAAGGTCTAGCCTGGGTGAGTACGGAGGGTCTAGCCTGGGTGAGTACGGAGGGTCTAGCCTGGGTGTGTAAGGAAGGTCTAGCCTGGGTGAGTACGGAGGGTCTAGCCTGGGTGAGTACGGAGGGTCTAGCCTGGGTGAGTACGGAGGGTCTAGCCTGGGTGAGTACGGAGGGTCTAGTCTGGGTGTGTAAGGAGGGTCTAGCCTGGGTGAGTACGGAGGGTCTAGCCTGGGTGAGTACGGAGGGTCTAGCCTGGGTGTGTAAGGAGGGTCTAGCCTGGGTGAGTACGGAGGGTCTAGCCTGGGTGAGTACGGAGGGTCTAGCCTGGGTGAGTACGGAGGGTCTAGCCTGGGTGTGTAAGGAAGGTCTAGCCTGGGTGAGTACGGAGGGTCTAGCCTGGGTGTAAGGAGGGTCTAGCCTGGGTGAGTACGGAGGGTCTAGCCTGGGTGAGTACGGAGGGTCTAGCCTGGGTGTGTAAGGAGGGTCTAGCCTGGGTGTAAGGAGGGTCTAGCCTGGGTGTAAGGAGGGTCTAGCCTGGGTGTGTACGGAGGGTCTAGTCTGAGTGCGTGTGGGGACCTCAGAACACTGTGACCTCAGTCCAGCAAGCCAGGCCCTTCATGAAGGCCAAGAAGGCTGCCACTGTTCCCTGCCAGCCCAAGAACTCCAGGTTCCCCACTGCCTCTGTATGCCCCTTCCCATCCTGCGAAGGCCGTTGAGAAATGCCCAGTGTGACCCATGGGAAAGGGCACGGCCTGTCCTCCTGACACGGGCCGTGCTCAGCCACAGAACTGCCCAGCGCCTCCCCTGCTGCCGTCCACGGTCAGTTCACTAGGTGACATCACATGGTCTCAGGCATGCGGCAGCCAGCGGCAGCTCAGCGCAGGGCACTGTGTCCAGCGGAGCCCAGTCCACTTTGGGGGGACTCCGGCAGGGACCACGGACCCCTGCTCACCCACTGGCCCCGAGGGGGGTGTAGACACCAAGACTCACGGATGTGTGACATCTGGAGTCCTGGAGCCGGGTGTCCCAGCAGCACCACTAGGTGCCTGCTGCCTCCACGGTGGGGTTCACACCCAGAGCTTCTCGGTCCCCTACACGTAGCCCGCCCCGGCTACATGCCAGACCTGCCTCACCCACCAGCACAGCCGGAGCTGGCGACACCAGCCAGGTGCTGGTCTTGGGCCAGTTGTCCCACGACGGCTCACCCTCCCCTCCATCTGGGTTGTCGCTCAGAATTGCCTACCTGTGCCTGCGTGTAAACCAGAGCCTCAGACCAGCTATGGGGAGGGGGACAATGTGGAGGAAATCCAGCTTCCCCGGTCTGGGGTGAGGAGTGCCGGGAGCTTGGGCATCCTCCTCCAGCCCCCAGGCAGTGCCTTACCTGTGGTGCCCAGAAAAGTGCCCCTGGGCTGGTGGGTCTACGGGAGCCTCAACCAGGCAGCCCTCCCCACCCTGGGGCCCTGCCTCACCAAAGAAATAAAGACTCAAGCTATTTTGGGGTGTCCAGGCCTCAGTTTGTCTCCTCTCTCAGGGCTTCAGGCCACCCCCTCGGCCATGGGATGGGCAGCCTGGGGCCTGGGGCCTGGGTGCTGTGTGGGGGCTCTGGAGGCACCAGAAGAGAGACCCAGCATTAGTCCTTGGGCAGCCTCTGGCCACCTCTGGGCCTCAGTGCCTCTCCAGGCAGTGGACAAGCCCAGGAGGGGCTGAAGCAGTGTGGGAGGGGAGGGAGAGGAAATTGGCCTTTTGGGAGGGCACAGAGGATAGACAAGATGGCTTAGGGCACCCCTAAGACACCAGCTGGCTTGGGGCCCAGAAATGGAGGCCCAGCCTTGAAGGACTTGGGTGAACAATAGCAGTAATAACAATAACAGGATTAGGGCCGGGGCAGGGTAGCTCACCCCTGTAATCCCAGCGCTTTGAGAGGCCAAAGTGGGTGGATCACTTGAGGCCAGGAGTTTCAGACCAGCCTGGGCAATATAGTGAGACCCCCGTGTATCTACATTAAAAAGAAAAAAAAGGTCAAGTGCCCCTGTAGTCCCAGCTACTCAGGAGGCTGAGGTGGGAAGATGGCTCGAGCCCAGGTTGTCAAGGCTGCAGTGAGCTAGGATGGCACCACTGCACTCCAGCCTGGTGACACAGTGAGACACTGTTTCTAAAATAATAATAATAGCAAAATCAGCCAGCAGTGGTGGTTCATGCCTGTAATCCCAGCAGTTTGGGAGGCCGAGGCAGGTGAATCACAAGGTCAGGAGTTCGAGACCAGCCTGGCCAACATGGTGAAACCCTGTCTCTACTAAAAATACAAAAATTAGCCAGGTGTAGTGGCGGGTGCCTGTAATCCCAGCTACTCAGGAAACTGAGACAGGAGAATTGCTTGAACCTGGGAGGCAGAGGTTGCAGTGAGCCAAGATCGTGCCGCTGTACTCCAGCCTGGGTGACAGAGCAAGACTCTATCTTGAAAAAAAAAAAAAAATTAGCCAGCTGTGGTGTCACGTGCATGTAATCCCAGCTACGTGGGAGGGTGAGGAGAGAGAATCGCTTTAACTCAGGAGGAGGAGGTTGCAGTGAGCCGAGATCGCACCTCTGCACTCCAGCCTGGGTGACAGAAGGAGACTCTGTTTCAAAATAATAATAATAAAAAAAAGGCAGGGCGCGTTGGCTCACGCCTGTAATTCCAGCACTTTGGGAGGCCGAGGCGGGTGGATCACGAGGTCCGGAGATGGAGACCATCCTGGCTAACACAGTGGAACCCCGTCTCTACTAAAAAATACAAAAAAATTAGCTGGGCGTGGTGGCGGGTGCTGTGGTCCCAGCCTCCGGAGGCTGAGGCAGGAGAATCGCATGAACCCGGGAGGCAGAGCTTGCAGTGAGCCGAGATTGCGCCACTGCACTCCAGCCTGGGCGACAGAGCGAGACTCCGTCTCAAAAAAATAAATAAAAATAAAAATTAATAATTAATAAGAAAGAAATAAATAAATTTAAAAATAAAAAATAACACAATAATAAGCTGTGACAGTAACATCAGCTGGGACTTGCCGTGCACCTGGCGCTATTCTCCGTGGTTTTCAGAGGATGAACGCCAGGCTGGGATGGGAGGCCAGACCCTCTTGGGATTCTATGGTGTGGCCGGCGCAAGCCCGCACTGGTGTTCACGGCCCCCACGCCCTGCAGAGGGAGCTCAGGGCTTCCTAGCCTCCGTTTCCCAGCCTACTCATCTGTGCTGTGGTTAGCCGGCTGGAGGAGGTGGAGGCACAGCGTTCCAGGTGGGAGGCTGCATGAGTGTGGGTTGCAGGCCTGCGGAGGTGGACCCAGAGGGGTTCACGGTGGGGGGCATGGGAAGGTGAAAGGGGCTGCGGACAAGGAGCCGTGACACAAACACGGGTGGACCCTGCCGCTGACCGCCCGCGGGTGAGGCTGGAAGTCAGTTAACATTTTACTGGGTTAGATTCTGCCCTTTGCATATGGAACGGGTGTCCCCCGCCGCTGGCCGTCCACCCCAACCCTGAACATCAGGGACCCCCTGCCCCAGCCATGGAACATTCCAGGCCTGGAGCAGCAACCTCATTTGCATGCTGCAAGGCTGTGGCTCAGGCGACTCCTCCTGGGGGCCTGGTGGTCCACGCAGGGGTCCGGGCTGGGGGCTGCTCCGCCGAACCACGTCCCAGATCCAGGCCACAAAGGAGGACACCTGCGTGTACACATCGGGGGTCTTCGGTCGCCGCACCAGAGGCCGGAGAATGACACGAGGCCGTGAGCCCGGTTCCTGCACACCAGGGGCCCCCCGGAGTCGGCCTGGAGTAAAAGGAGAGGTGAGGTCAGGGCCTCTGGGAGCTGCGGCGGGCACATCTCACCACCGCCCTCCCTGCCTCAGAACCCTCTGTGACTCCCTACTGCTCTCCAAGGAAAAAGTAAACTCATCTCTGCCATCCAGGCCCTGAGGACCCGGCCCCCACCCACTTCTCTGCCCGCCTCCCCCACCAGCCTCCTCGGTGCTCCAGCCTTTGCACAGCCTGGAGGCCTGTTCCTGGCCTGTGCTGGATGCTACGTGTGTAAACATTCGAGTCTGCAGTGCTCTGGGCAGTGCACAACCTGCACAGCTGTACGCGGCCGCCCTCCAGTAATGGGTCTCTCTGCCTTGCATGTGTTTCCTCCAATCTTCTAAGATTCCTTCAAGTCTCAGCTCAAAGGTGCTCTCCTTGGAGAGGGCTCCCCGAATACTCACCCTAAAATCCTCATCCTACCCTCCTAACTGCCATCTGGAATCCACTCTGACACCAGAAACTATTCGGGTGGCAGTTTTACAGATGGAGAAGAAGAGGCCCAGAGAAATCAAGTGACTTTTCCAAGGTCACACATTGGGAAAGTGGACAGTCTCGTTTCTCCTGGGCTTGGGCTGCCGGGCTCCAGAGTGTGTGTCCTGAACCAAGTCGCTCTCTTGCCTGCAAAAGACCTTCCAGGCCCCGTGTCTCCCTTAGCACCAGGGGATTCGTTTATCCGACAAGATTTTAGGAGTGGGAGCTGCTTCCTCTCAATCTGTTACTACCTTCTACTGAACACTGCTTGTGCAAATACACAAGTGTGTGGCTCTTTGTGCAGTGCACAACCTGCGCAACTGAACATGACAGCCCTGCGTGACCCTTGCCAACTCCCTGCCTTTCCTGGGCCTCAACTTCTCCATCTGGTCCAATATCAATGGACTCAGTTCCCAAGGCCCTTCCTGGCCCTGACTGTCTCTGTGGGCCTGGTTCCCCATACAGTAAGTGGGTGGAGCAGGAGGGGATCTTACCGAGCAGAAGCCTCGCCTGTGCCTGTCCCCACTGCGGGTGCAGAGCATCGTATGGCTCAGGTGCCCTTCCAGGAGCTGTTGCAGACGTCCAGGTCCAGCACTCGGACCTCGGCCTCCATCAGTCCAGGCGGCAGATCCTCAAAGTCAGACACGAAGCCCCAGCCAGCGACCCGGCACCGTGTCCCGGCTGTGGGGGCCTGGCCCGTCTCCCTGGCAGCCTCAGCAGCCCCACTGCAGGGCCCAGGACAGCAGAGCTGTTCAGCTGCAGGGAAAGCATGAGTTCAGGCCACCAGGCTCCCTCCCCACCCCCGCTCCTGCCTCGGTTTATCCATAGGACCCCTGGTCTGCCCTTGTGAAGCGAAATCAATGGTGGCCACCATGAGGCCGGGTCAGAAGGCCCCGTTCCTTCTGCAACATAAACCCCTACCCCTTGGGTCTCCAGTGTCACCGTCAGTTGCCCAAAGGGTCTTTCTTTTTTCTTTTTTTTGAGAGAGAGTCTCACTCTGTTGTCCAGGCTGGACTGTAGTGGTGCAATCTCAGCTCACTGCAACCTCCGCCTCCCAGGTTCAACCCGTTCTCCTGCCTCGGCCTCCCAAGTAGCTGGGATTACAGGCGTGCACCACCACACCTGGCTAATTTTAGTATTTTAGCAGGAATGGGGTTTCACCACGTTGGACAGGCTGGTCTCCAACTCCTGACCTCAGGTGATCCACCCGCCTCGGCCTCCCAAAGTGCTGGGATTACAGAGTGAGCCACCGCGCCCGGTCTCAAAGAGTCTTTCAAACCCCATCTCCTTCCTTGCTCTAAGCCCTCCCTTGGCTCCCCAGTGCCCTCAGGACAAAACCTCTTCGCTCACCAGCCAGGGCCTCTGAGGGCTCTCCAGCCTCAGCCTCCCCTCTGGCCGGACAGGATGAATTTACAGCCACTCCCTGGGCCTGCCACGCACCTCTGCTCACACCTGACCCCCAGCCTGGACCCTTTTCCTGTTCAGCCTCCACATCTCAGCGCGGATGCCACCTCTCCCAGGAAGTCTTCCCAGATTGCCAGGCTAGGACGTGAGTCTCCTCTGGGCTCCCTGCAGCCCGTCAAGGCTGGTTTACCAAGTGAAGATTGTGTGACACTCTGGGCTCTGCGCACCGGGCCTCTGGCCCTGGCCCTGGCGCCTGGCACGTGGCTGATACTCAGTTAACAGGCCTGGGAAGGATGGCTCTAATCCCTGGCTCTGGTTCTCTGACTCGTGCATCTTGGGTACATCCCTGACATTCCTGATGTCTCCCCCAGCCTCAGTTTCCCCATCTGTACAATGGCCTGGGTGAACCAGAGCAGTTCCAGGCTTTAGGGTTTCACGAATGAGAAAAATTCACCCAAAAGCTTCGGCCACTGGCGCTTGCTGCCTCCTTTTATCTTATTTTTTTCAGACGGAGTCTCGCTCTGCCCCCAGGCTGGAGTGCAGTGGCCGGATCTCCGCTCACTGCAAGCTCCGCCTCCCGGGCTCACATCATTCTCCTGCCTCAGCCGAGTAGCTGGGACTACAGTCGCCCGCCACCTCTCCCAGCTAGTTTTTTGTATTTTTTTTTTTAGTAGAGACGGGGTTTCACCGTGTTAGCCAGGATGGTCTCGATCTCCTGACCTCGTGATCCACCCGCCTCGGCCTCCCAAAGTGCTGGCATTACAGGCATGAGCCACCGCACCCGGCGGTGAAACCTCATTTCTACCAAAAATATAAAAATTAGCCGGGCGTGGTGGAGGTGCCTGTGATCCCAGCTACTCGGGAGGCTGAGGCGGGAGAATCGCCTGAGCCCGGGGGTCGAGCTTGCGGTGAGCCGAGATCGCGCCACTGCACTCCAGCCTGGGCGACAGAGTGAGACTCTGTCTCAAAACCAAACATGTGTCAGATACTCCTACGGGCCACCCCCCCACCCCAGGCTCACCCGCAGCAGGCAGATGTCGTTGACGTGGTCACAGGGTGGAAGTCGGGGTGGTTGGTGATAGCACTGATACCAAACACCTGCTGGGTGGGCTCTGCAGTACGCAGGGCATGGGCGCCCAGCACCACCAGGCCGGTGCGGAGGTCTCTGCGGGGAGGAAGGGGTAGGCGAGACAGGGGTGAGAGGCTGCCTGTCCTGGGCCTGTCCTGGGCCTCAGTCTACTCATCTATGAAACAGAGGCCCAGGCCGGGCGCGGTGGCTCACGCCTGTCATCCCAGCACTTTGGGAGGCCGAGGCGGGCGGATCACGAGGCCAGGAGTTCGAGACCAGCCTGGCCAACGTGGTGAAACCCTGTCTTTACCAAAAATACAAAATTAGCCGAGCGTGGTGGCAGGCGCCTGTAATCCCAGCTACTCAGGAGGCTGAGGCAGGAGAATCGCTTGAACCCGGGAGGAAGAGGTTGCAGTGAACTGAGATCACCCTACTGCACTCCAGTCTGGGTGACAGAGCAAAACTCTGTCTCAAAAAAAATTACTTTGCCAGGCGCGGTGGCTCACGCCTGTCATCTCAGCACTTTAGGAGGCCGAGGCGGGCGGATCACGAGGTCAGGAGATCGAGACCATCCTGGCTAACACGGTGAAACCCCGTCTCTACTAAAAATACAAAAAATTAGCCGGGCGAGGTGGCAGCCGCCTGTAGTCCCAGCTACACGGGAGGCTGAGGCAGGAGAATGGCGGGAACCCGGGAGGCAGAGCTTGCAGTGAGCTGTGATCGTGCCGCTCACTCCAGCCTGGGCGACAGAGCAAGACTCCGTCTCAAAACAACAACAACAACAAAACAACAACAACCCCGTCTCTACTAAAAAATACAAAAAACTAACCGGGCGAGGTGGCGGGCGCCTGTAGTCCCAGCTACTGGGGAGGCTGAGGCAGGAGAATGGCGTGAACCCGGGAGGCGGAGCTTGCAGTGAGCTGAGATCCGGCCACTGCACTCCAGCCTGGGCAGCAGAGCGAGACTCCGTCTCAAAAAAAAAAAAAAAAAAAACAACAACAACAACAAAAAACAATTACTTTTACACCAACTTTATATTCTTTTTCTTTTTTTTCTTTTTTAGACAGAGTCTCACTCTGTCCCCCCAGGCTGGAGTGTGATCTTGGCTCACCGCACCCCGGGTTCCAGTGATTCTCTTGCCTCAGCCCTTCAAGCAGCTGGGACTACAGGCACGCACCACCACACCCGGCTAATTTTTGTATTTTTAGTAGAGACGAGGTTTCAGCATGTTGGCCAGGCTGGTCTCGAACTCCTGAGTAGCTGGGACGACAGAAGCACACCACTACTCCTGACTAATTTTTGTATTTTTTGTAGAGACGGGGGGTTTCATTTTGTTGCCCAGGCTGATCTTGAACTCCTGGAGGCAAGTGATCCTCCTGCCTTGGCCTCCTGCCAGATGTGACTGTCTGCGCCCAGCCCCAATATTCCTTTCTTTTTTCTTCCTTTGAGACAGAGTCTGGCTCTGCCACTCAGGCTGGAGGGCAGTGGCACCATCTCAGCTCACTGCAACCTCCGCCTCCCGGGTTCAAGTGATTCTCCTGTCTCAGCCTCCCGAGTAGCTGGGGTTACAGCCACTCACCACCACGCCTGACTAATTTTTGTATTTTTAGTACAGACAGAATTTCACCATGTTGGCCAGGCTGGTCTCGAACTCCTGACCTCAAACAACCCACCATGTCCCAACGTGAGGGGACTCCAGGCTGGCGGGGGAGCTGGGGACACCGCAGTCCAGGACCAACCCATCTCTTGCCTGGTAGGGGCTCCGGCAGGAGGGGGCCCACCGACCTTGGCCCCAATATTCATCTTAATAGTTATTATAACAGCATATTTAAAATGAGGCCGGGCGCGGTGGCTCCCACCTGCAATCCCAGCACTTTGGGAGGCAGAGGCAGGTGAATCATTTGAGGTCAGGAGTTCCAGACCAGCCTGGCCAACATGGTGAAATCCCGTCTCTACTAAAAATAACAAAAATTCACCAGGCGTGGTGACAGATGTCTGTAATCCCAGCTACTCGGGAGGCTGAGGCAGGAGAATCGCTTGAACCCGAGAGGCAGAGGCTGCAGTGAGCTGAGATTGCACCATTGCACTCCAGCCTGGGGACAGAGACTGTCTCAAAAAAGTAAAAAAAAAAGAACATAGGCCGGGCGCGGTGGCTCAAGCCTGTAATCCCAGCACTTTGGGAGGCCGAGGCGGGCGGATCACAAGGTCAGGAGATCGAGACCACGGTGAAACCCCGTCTCTACTAAAAATACAAAAAATTAGCCGGGCGCAGTGGCGGGCGCCTGTAGTCCCAGCTACTCAGGAGGCTGAGGCAGGAGAATGGCGGGAACCCGGGAGGCGGAGCTTGCAGTGAGCCGAGATCGCGCCACTGCACTCCAGCCTGGGCAACAGCGTGAGACTCCGTCTCAAAAAAAAAAAAAAAAAAAAAAAAAAAAAAAAAAAGAACATAGTAACAGTTACAGTCACAGAATATATACTTGTTGCCCCTGGTGCTTCTTTTGTGCTTCCTCTGCCTCCCTGACTTCTCCTCCTGTTTTCCCTTGTTGCCCCTTAAATCTGACCCCACTGAGACGCCCCCTCCTACCGGAGCCCCCACAGGCAAGGGATGGGTCCGTCCCGGGTTGCCGCGCCTCCAGCCCCCCCACCAGCCTGGAGTTCCCCTCATGTTGGGACATGGTGTCCCAGAGAGAAGGGGCCCGACAGGTGAGCTCACCTGTGGCTGAAGCAGTGGGCGGCCGAGACCACCCAGCGGGCTCGCAGCAGGAAGCCTCCACAGTGATGCTGGCCCCCGAAGCGCACGGAAGCCATGTAGGGCCTGGAGTGGGGGGTCACTTCATGGCCGCCGATGATCTGGGCCCCCCAGGAGCCTGCTGGAGGGACAGCCCGAGTCAGGGACGAGGCAGGAGGAAGGGCTGACGGGCTGGGGTCAGGGCAGGGGGAGAAGGAGCGGCCGAGACACAGACGGGTGAGATGCGAGACAGACAGACACAGAGAGCTGGAGACACAGCCCAGACAAGCCCCCCAGTTGTGCTGGGAGGGGCTCCCGAGACCGGGAGATCCAGGGCGGGGCGGGCCGGCCCGAGACCCCTGTCGGATTTGCACCCATTTCCAGCAGAGGCAGTCACGGGCGCTTGGCAGATGGAGCAGGTGGAGCTCTCCCCAGGGTTCTCCGGGGACTGGGGGCTCCTGGGTGTGGCCGCCCTACGGGGACTTGGCGGGGGCCTGGGTGGGGATCCGGGGGGCTCCTCACCGGGGGGCTTCATGGGCAGCATCAGGGCAGTGGCCACGGTCAGCAGCGGACGTCCCCAGGCCCCCGACCCAGGCCCCATGGCGGATACGGGCTGGTGTCTCCCTGCAGAGGTCTCCGGGCCGTGGCTCCCACCCTCAGCCAACGGCCGGAAAGGGGGAGCCCGACTGTGGCCTGTGGTCAGGAGGCCCCACCAGCAACGCCTGAACCCCAGCCGGCCGTTTCTGGGAAATCGATGGTCTCAGGTGGTGGCTGATAATAATCATGTTGATAATAATCACCGCCGCCTGGGCTGGAAACGGGGGTGGGGGAGACAGCTCTGGGGCTGCAAGTGACCTCAGCAAGGCGCTCGACCCTCTGTGCCTCAGTTTACCCAGCCTCAACACAGCTCAGCATGTGTGGGGAGCTTTCTGAAGAGCCGAGGTCACAGCGGCACTGGAGACCCTGCAGCTCCCCTCCGGCCCCCACCCCCCCAAACCCCAGTCTTCCCATCTCCAACCCCAGTGCCCACCTCAGGACTGTGGGGACAGTGAGGAAGGCTGGTCTCCTGGGAAGCTGTGATGATTTCTGCCTTTATTTTATTATTATTATTTTTTTGAGACAGAGTCTCACTCTGTTGCCCAGGCTGGAGTGCAGTGGTGTGATCTCGGCTCACTGCAAGCTCCACCTCCCGGGTTCACGCCGTTCTCCTGCCTCAGCCTCCCGAGTAGCTAGGACTACAGGCGCCCTCCACCACGCCCGGCTAGTTTTTTGTACTTTTTAGTAAAGACGGGGTTTCACCGTGTTAGCCAGGATGGTCTCGATCTCCTGACCTCAAGATCCGCCCGCCTCGGCCTCCCAAAGTGCTGGGATTACAGACGTGAGCCACCACTCCGTGCTTGGCCTCTTTTTCTTTTTTTTTGGAAGGAGTCTCGCTCTTGTTGCCCAAGCTGGAGTGTAATGGCATGATCTCAGCTCACTGCAACCTCTGCCTCCTGGGTTCAAGCGATTCTCCTTCCTCAGCCTCCCTAGTAGCTGGCATTACCAGCGCCTGACACCACACCTGGCTAATTTTGTGTTTAGTAGAGACGGGGTTTCACCATGTTGGTCAGGCTGGTCTCGAACTCCCGACCTCAGGTGATCCACCCGCCTCAGCCTCCCAAAGTGCTGGGATGACAGGCGTGAGCCGCCGCGCCCGGCCTGGCAGGTCTTCACCTTTCAGTGGGACTGTTGTTAGTGGCGAAGCTCAGGCCATAAAGTGCAGCTCACACAGCTGGGTGATGGCGTTCACAGTGGTGGCTGGCAGTGCGGTGCTCGTCAGCGTTTAACAGTGGACAGGCTGGGGCAGGCGCAGTGGCTCACACCTGTAATCCCAGCACTTTGGGAGGTCGAGGTGAGTGGATCACCTGAGGTCGGGAGTTTTAGACCAGCCTGGCTAACATGGTGAAACCCCATCTCTACTAAAAATACAAAAATTAGCTGGGCGTGGTGGCGGGCGCCTGTAATCCCAGCTACTTGGGAGGCTGAGGCAGGAGAATCGCTTGAACCGGGAGATGGAGGTGGCAGTGAGCCGAGATCGTGCTTCTGCACTCCAGCCTGGGAAACAGAGTCTCAAAAAAAAGGTGGATCACCTGAGGTCCATCTCAAAAAAAAATAAAAAGAAGTCACCGGTGAACGCCCCAGACCTGTGTTTTACCAAATGTAAAGTGTTCCCAATAAAGAAGGAAGTGAAATGAAGCAACAGGAAACGCATCGAAAGGAAGGTATATAAAGGTCCCACAAAGAACTCGGGATCTGTGAGATGCAGGCAGAAGAGTTTTCCCCTGGAGCCTCCGGGAAAAGCCGGACCTACTGATGCCTTCACCAGCTCAGCGAGGCCTGTGCAGGCGTCTGACCTCCAGCACTGTCAGAGAATAAACTGGTGCCATTTCTTTTTTTTTTTTTTGAGACGGAGTCTCGCTCTGTCGCCCAGGCTGGAGTGCAGTGGCCGGATCTCAGCTCACTGCAAGCTCCGCCTCCCGGGTTCACGCCATTCTCCTGCCTCAGCCTCCCGAGTAGCTGGGACTACAGGCGCCCGCCACCTCGCCCGGCTAATTTTTTTTTGTATTTTTAGTAGAGACGGGGTTTCACCGTGTTGGCCAGGCTGGTCTCGATCTCCTGACCTCATGATCCGCCTGCCTTAGCCTCCCAAAGTGCTGGAACTACAGATGTGAGCCACCGCGCCCCTCCTAATACTGGTTTTTGTTTCCTTTTTTTTTTTTTCTTTTTGTTTATTTATTTATTTATTTATTTATTTATTTTTTTTTTGAGACGGAGTCTCTCTGTGTCCCCCGGGCTGGAGTACAGTGGCGCGATCTCGGCTCACTGCAAGCTCCGCCTCCCGGGTTCACGCCATTCTCCTGCCTCAGCCTCCCAAGTAGCTGGGACTACAGGCACCCGCCACCGCGCCCGGCTAGTTTTTTGTATTTTTTTTTAGTAGAGACGGGGTTTCACCGTGTTAGCCAGGATGGTCTCGATCTCCTGACCTCGTGATCCACCAGCCTCGGCCTCCCAAAGTGCTGGGATTACAGGCGTGAGCCACCACGCCCGACCTAATTTTTGTACTTTTTAGTAGAGTCAGAATTTCGCCATGTTGGCCAGGCTGGTCTTGAACTCCTGATCTCAGGTGATTCATCTGCCTCAGCCTGCCAAAGTGCTGGGATTACAGGTGTGAGCCACTGCGCCTGGCCCTGTTTTTATCTTTTAGAGACAGAGTCTCGTTCTGTCGCCCAGGCTGGAGTGCAGTGGTTCGACCTCAGCTCACTGCAGCCTCTGCCTCCTGGGTTAAAGTGATTCCTTCTGCCTCAGCCTTCTGAGTAGCTGGGATTACAGGTGCCTGCGACCCCGCCCGGCTAATTTTTGTGTTGTTTGGTTTTGTTGGCAGAGATGGGGTTTTATCATATTGCCCAGGCTGGTCTCAAACTCCTGAGCTCAAGTGATCTGCCTGCCTCGGCCTCCCAAAGTGCTCGGATTACAGGCATGAGCCACCGCGCCCGGCCGTCCGTCAATACGGTTGAAGGACTGGACAACGGGCACTCTGGTCTCCAGGTCATCACGTCAGCACTAGTGGGTCCCCTGGGCTTGCTCCTACCTCTCCTGCTGCCCTCCGTCGGGGAGCACCAAGGCAGAGACCTGGAAAACGGCCCCAGCTCCAGGGGCCTCAGAAGGAGAATTGCCCAAAGCTGCAGGAGTGTGGAACTTCATGCCCCCAGGGTGCTGTCCCTCTCCTGGTCGCTGACGGGGACACGGTACAGAGAGGGTAAGCGCCTTAGCCCCTCCACACAGTCAGGAGCCAGGGGGCCAGGGCTGCAGCCTCAGAGGAGCTCCCACTGCCTGTCACGGCCGATTCTACCCAGAGCTGGGCCGTTTCCTTCCCTTTTGGTGAACAGTTGTGAAATAAATAACCGTCCTCCGGCATCTCAGAAAACCGAGCTCCTGGCAGCTCTGAGGAGGAGCTGAGTGGGGATAGTTGTTCCCACTTACCAAACTGAGGCCCAGAGAGGGGAGCCGGTTTGTCTGGGGCCGCACAGCACAGGGTGTTGGTGCATGAACTGCTGGACTGCGATTTTCCCGGAGGGCCTCTCCATGGCGGATTTGGGGGACTCTTCAGGAGTTCAGACACCAGCCACTGCAAGGAGTCAACAGCAGTGGTGACAATGGCTTCATTTATTGTATTTAATTTTAAATATTTATTTTATTTTATTTTATTTTATTTTTATTTCTTTTTGAGTTGGAGTCTCGCTCTGTTGCCCAGGCTGCAGTGTGGTGGCCCGATCTCGGCTCACTGCAAGCTTCGCCTCAAGGGTTCACGCCATTCTCCTGCCTCCCGAGTAGCTGGGATTACAGGCGCCCGCCACCACACCCGGCTAATTTTTCGTATTTTTAGTAGAGATGGGGTTTCACCGTGTGAGCCAGGATGGTCTCGATCTCCCGACCTCGTGATCCACCCGCCTTGGCCTCCCAAAGTGCTGGGATTACAGGCGTGAGCCACTGCGCCCGGCCTATTTTATTTTTTTGAGACGGAATCTCGCTCTGTCACCCAGGATGGAGTGCAGTGGCACCATCTCAACTTACTGCAAGCTCCGCCTCCCGGGTTCAAGTGATTCTTCTGCCTCAGACTCCCAAGTACCTGGGATTGCAGGTGCCTGCCACCATGCCCGGCTAATTTTTTGTATTTTTAGTAGAGATGGGGTTTCACCATGTTGGTCAGGCTGGTCTTGAACTCCTGACGGCAGGCGATCCACCTGCCTCGGCCTCCGAAAGTGCTGGGGTGACAGACGTGAGCCGCCGCACCTGGCCCCTCCCCTGCAAAAAATTGTTTTTCAAGACAAGATATTGCCTGGTCGCTGAGACCGAAATGCAGTGGTGCAATCACAGCTCACTGCAGCCTCTCCCTCCTGCCTCCGCCTTCCCCATAGCTGGGACCACAGGCTCACAAAACCACCAGGGTAATTAAAAAAAAAAAAAAAAAAAAAAAAAAAAAAAAAGAGACCGGGCGCGGTGGCTCAAGCCTGTAATCCCAGCACTTTGGGAGGCCGAGACGGGCGGATCACGAGGTCAGGAGATCGAGACCATCCTGGCTAACACGGTGAAACCCCGTCTCTACTAAAAAAAAATACAAAAAACTAGCCGGGCGCGGTGGCGGGTGCCTGTAGTCCCAGCTACTTGGGAGGCTGAGGCAGGAGAATGGCGTGAACCCGGGAGGCGGAGCTTGCAGTGAGCTGAGATCCGGCCACTGCACTCCAGCCTGGGCGACAGAGTGAGACTCCGTCTCAAAAAAAAAAAAAAAAAAAAAAAGCAAAAGCAGGACACGGTGGCTCATGTCTGTGATCCCAGCACTTTGGGAGGCCAAGACGGGCAGATCACGAGGTCAGGAGATCGAGACCATCCTGCCTAACACGGTGAAACCCCGTCTCTACTAAAAATACCAAAAATTAGCTAGGCGTGGTGGCGGGCGCCTGTAGTCCCAGCTACTAGGGAGGCTGAGGCAGGAGAATGGCGTAAACCTGGGAGGCGGAGCTTGCAGTGAGCTGAGATCCGGCCACTGCACTCCAGCCTGGGGGAGAGAGCAAGAGTCCGTCTCAAAAAAAAAAAAAAAGAATACACATAGCACTGCTGGGCACAGTGGCTCACGCCTGTAATCGCAGCACTTTGGGAGACCAAGGCAGGTGGATACCAAGAGGTCA